TTGAGAGACTAGCTACTTTTGTTCTCTTTACTCTGACTTTTGGCGATGATCATTACTGATGAAATTCAGATAAAATACATAATTTGAAATATGACCTCAACCCACTGATGGTATTTCATAGGATTTTAAAAATGTATCAAACTATCATTAGCCAATATAAAAACCACATTACTTTAGTCAAATGAAGTCATATTTGTAATGTGATTAGCACAGTGTCTTACATGTAATAAGTGCTTAATAAGTGTTTATTCCTTCTGTTTTGTCCATTTTTGGTGATACTATAAAAGAGAAAACAAAGTCTCCTTCAATAAAGCCATAGCTACCCTAACCCATATGCTAATCATCTCTTGCCTGGAGTATTGGAACAGCCACCAAATTGTTTTCCCAGATTCCAACTTCTCTATTTTCCAGTCCATTTCCTATAGCATTTTGAAACTGATGGTGCTAAGGTGCAGTCCTGATAGTGTTAGCCCAAAAAGAATAAGTGTCTCCCTATTGCCCATAGGTTAAAATAACACATTAGTTTAGTACTTAAAGCCTTTCCCACATATAGCTCCAACCTATCTTTTCAGACTGATTTCAAATTCGATACTCTAGCTAAATTGTTCTGCTTGCACTTTGTCATTCATGGCATTCCAACTGGAGCCTCTGTGACTTTGTACAAGCTGTTTCCCACACCTGGAGTGCTTTCTTTCATCAATATCTCTTGGCAGTCCTTACTTCTTTTAAGGCACTATTCACATGCCCCTTCCTTCAAGGCCCTTTCTTGATTTCTCCCAGCCTGTCCCATTTTATATGTGTTTCCTATGTTGCCTAGTGTAATGCTTGGCACAAATCCAACACTTAATAAATTTGTGTGCATACATACATACATATATATATATATATATATATATATATATACATATACACATTCATATATAAATAATGCGTATATGTACAGGTATAGTGAATATGTACATGTGTACACTCATACATTCCATGTACTTCCATTTACATTAGACATCCTAGATGCAGCACAGAAATATGTCAGAAAGCAAAGTAGATACTAGCTGGGAAATGGATATCTTGACTAGAGTCTGGAATAGTAAAAATCATACAGGTTTTGGAGACAAAGTGCCAGGATTTGAATCCCAGCTCTTCTAGTTCCCTGTACAAACTTGTCACTTAAACTCTCTGGGCTTCAGCTCTCTCATCAATAGGATAAAGGATTTGGACTACATTACTTCCAAAGTCCCTTTGAGCTTTATATATATATATATATATATACACACATATATATATACACACATATATATATATACACATATATATATGTATGTATATATATATGTATATATATATATATAATCTTAAATTTATGAAATCTCATTATCATACAGGCAAAATCCAATAAGCACAAATCTCATCCCCCACCCATAGACAAACTGTGTTCATTGTTTCAGTGCTACACACACACACACACACACACACACACACACACACACACACACAACACACTCTGTGCATCGCTAGGGAGTGAGGAGAGCTTCAAAGGATCTCTTCTGTACAATCAAGGCCCAAGGGTGGGGAAACTTCAACCTCGAGGCCACCTCTGGACCATGCCTTTCCTTCCCTACCTGCCTTCCCTACATGCCTGGAATGCTTTCCTGAAGTCCTTAAGCATCCCTAGTTTCCTCTGAGACTCACTTTAGCATAAAGCTCGTCCTGATTCCTCCAGCTGTAGTTCCACTGAGCCCTGACCCAAACTACCTTGAATTCATTTTTAGGATTTTGTTCTCTATATACTTGTATGCATGCACTTTTAGAATGGAAGCTTCTTAAGGACATATATGCCCCCAGTGCTTAGTATAGTAACCGACATGTAGTGGGTGCTTAATAATTTTTTTTGGATTTATTGATAGTTTGTGTGGGGGTAGCTGCAGTAAAGTTTATTCTTCCTCAGCCATAATTTTCATCCATTCCTTTTTTTCATTCATTCCTTCATTCAACTGACTTTTGTTAGAGTATATTTACCTTTCTGGGATAGTTGTGTTAATCTGGGAGGAATTCTTCAGTGCCACTATCACCACATATATATGTTCTGATAAATCACAGAGAGAAACAGAGTGGCCACATTATCAGATTGAGGAAATCATTTATTCTGTTGAGGACCAAATCTAAATTTGGGGAATTCTAAGTTCAGTAATTTCCTAAGGGACTTCTTTGAGGCTAAATGTTTTCTAATGAGAGATCTTTATTAAACACTATTGTTACAGAAGTTTTTATACCTCCTATCAGGATTAAAAAAAACAAAACAGCATGTTTTCCACATGCAGTTTTATTTAGTTCTCATCAAGAAACATTCCAGTTTGATACAAAGCTACTGTAGTTTATTCCCCAGAAGAATTCCAGGGAGACTTTGCAGTAATTGGAAGCAGGTTTTGAAACAATGATTATCACACAAGAAAGCCATAGTATTCAATAACTGATGAATGGATTCAGTTTTGATGGCCTTTGGTGAAATCCATGCAGGGTGCACTGTTTGTAATTTAGGCTTTTCATTTTCATAGTTTGGAAGTTGTGGTATTTGATTTGGTGAGGAAACTAGAAAGAGGTGGAGATTCTTAAATTAAGAGGTTATCTGTGACTCTCTTTGTTTGGAAATTGTACTGACGTTGATTAGTGGTTGATTTTCTAATCATCATCAGTCATGAACTCCCCATTAAAATTACAAAGCCATACACTGAATTCAGGAGGAATGTTATTCAGTTGAAGATACTGCCTGTCAGAATTTCAAAGATATGCTGTAGATCTCCTTTGGCTAACATTCAATTTGTTAAAAGTATGATTCACACTTTCCTTGTTTCTAGAGAGTTGTGTTGGGGTGGAGTGATGGGGGTGGAGAATGGACTTTTCAGTGTGAATTACATCCAGTACCTGGATTTTGTAACAAATCGAGACAAGTCTTTCAAATCATTTCACGTTCCTATCTGAAGCCAGTAACAAACATTTTCACTTAGCAAAGCTCTGATGATGAGTCTTTGAAAACCAAGGCCTATTTTCTGCCTTCAAAGCAGTGTAATGTTTGCATGTTTGTAGCTCTTGAGAAATCATAACTGTCTAAGTCACAGTATCCCAGGATTAATAAAATCCTGACAAAAGCTATCCTGCTGGACAGCATTGTCGATTACCCAGATGCTATAATCTAGGTGTCAGTATAAACAATACAATTAAATTAAGCAAAGGGATTCAAAAATGTCCAGAAATACTTCCCTGCAGTTTGGCTTTGACCATTGCCTAAGAACTTATTTCAAATATGGTTTCAACTCCTCTTTCTTTTCAAAACTCTCTATGTCTTTTTTCAAACTCATTTAATAACCTATTGTAGATAAAAAGGGATTGCCAACCTCACTTGACATTTATGAGAGTATGTCAAATGCCAACTTAGCTCCATGACCAAAGCAACTCAACTTCATAATTTGGATTACAGCAAACATGCAGTTTACTGCACATAACTACAGGTTGGGAGAATTGTCCATAATTAGGGGGCAGGTGATTGAGATTCCTTGTTAGACCAAACAGCCCCCTTATCCCCACTCCCAATCATTCATAATATAGTGGCATCGAAGTCATTTCAACAAATAACATCTAAGTGCTCTTAATTGTAGTGCAAGTGTATATAATTTATACTGTTTTCCTGTGGGCCTGTTCAAGCAAAGCACCAATTTCCTGCCCAATGGTAGTGTTTGGTGAAAGATTTAGGCTTTAAAAGTATCATAATACTGTCATTGATATTGGAAGTCTATATTTTGCCACTGGACCCAGATGGTTCTGGAGGAGGGAGTGGGGCTGGTGACTTTGCACAGCCCACCCTCACTTAAATTCAATTCATTTGCAAGTCATGACATCTTCTTGATGTCATGGTCCTCTTTGAGAATGAAGGACAAACAGCAACCTGAGAGTAGTAGTAGCTGCCCCACTGGGGACCAGTTCCAGTTGGGCAAGGCAGATCTTTCCTTCTTTTCCTTCCTTCCTTCCTTCCTTCCTTCCTTCCTTCCTTCCTTCCTCCCTCCCTTCCTCCCTTCCTTCCTTCCTTCCTTCCTTCCTTCCTCCCTCCCTTCCTCCCTTCCTTCCTTCCTTCCTTCTTTCCTTCCTTTCTTCCTTCCTTCCTTCCTTCTTTCCTTCCTTTCCTTCCTTCCTTCCTTCCTTTCCTTCCTTCCTTCCTTCCTTCCTTCCTTCCTTCCTTCCTCCCTCCCTCCCTCCCTCCCTTCCTTCCTTCCTTCCTTCCTTCCTTCCTTCCTTCCTTCCTTCCTTCCTTCCTTCCTTCCTTCCTTCCTTCCTTCCTTCCTTCCTTCCTTCCTTTCTTTCCTTCCTTCCCTCCTCCCTTCCTGCCCCAGCAGGTAAAGATGATTTTGCATAGCCCTGCCTCACTTTAATCCAATTCACTTGCAAGTGAGGACATCTCCTTCCTGGTGTCATGGTCCTCTTCAAGAAGGAAGAACAAATAACAATACTATCATTAATATTGGAAATACATTTTACATTGTCATTTTCTTTTTATATTTATATATTATTTTACATCATATTCTATGCAATGATTAAAAACAGGGACAAAGATTGATTTGGGCTTTTTTTCCTTTGTTTTTTTTTTTATTAGACTAGAAGTCAGGAAACTAGAGTTCAAATTCTGCCTTAGACATTTACTGTCTATGTGACCTAGGAAAACACCAATGTCCTCATCTGTAAAATGGAAGAACTTGTGTAAAGCACTTTGCAAACTTCAATATGTTATATAAATGGTAGCTATTGTTATTAGTGGTAACATTAGCAACAGTAGCTCCTCTCCTATTATTTCTATATATTTTCTATGGGCAATTGTAGATTTGAATTTTTCTATTACAAAGTTTTCAAATATTCCAAAAACTCAATTTCTTCTTGAAAACTTGAATTTTCAAAGACAATATAAGACTTCAATCAGTTTTCAAACTATATCACATTGTGAAATCATTAACTGTTACCGTGTTCTCTTAATGCCTTTTTTCTCTTCTTTTTTAATCCCTTTCCTTTCATATTCACTGTCCCATTTGAATTATTCTTCACACCTCTTTTTATATTCTCTTCTTCTTCTCATTCATATTCCTCCATTTCTTTTCACAATTAGTCATCTAAAAGGTAGAACATCTTTTAAATTTCATTAACTTTATTGAAGTGTAAATCTATAATGAAAATATTCCTTAAAATTGTGGAAACCAACCTATCTCTCCCCAGAATCCAAATACTCATGCCTCCCACACACTCCACAAAATAAACTCCTTCAGTATGTGTAGAGAGGTATTTCATGTCAATTTTTCTTCTAGATTGGAACTCAAAAAAAAAAAAGAAAGAAAGGTGAGTAGGAGGAGAAAAGAAGTATCTGAGTCCCTGATAGGATTGTTCTGCTAATAATAGAGCACAGAGGAACCAATACTAGAAACTGAAACTGTAAATTTTCAAGGTTTACTAGTGAATGTTGGATTAATAATAGTGAGAATATTAGCAACAACTCTATTCAGACACTTCAATTGGAAAGCAGTGGAAATTTTAATATTCTCCTTTCTTACATTTTTTATTTTTGATTTATTAATAAAGAAAGATAGGTCTTCAGAGAGATTAAACAATAGTTCCTCAGATTTAACATGCATTTTCATGGTAACATTTTTTTTTTTGGTTAGGCAATGGGGTTAAGTGACTTGCCCAGGGTCACAAGCTAGTAAGTGTTATGTGTCTGAGGTCAGATTTGAACTCAGGTCCACCTGAATCCAGGGCCAGTGCTCTATCTACTGTGCCACCTAGCTGCCCCAACATGCATTTTCAAAAGGAAACCACTCCATTGCACCCTGGAGAGAAGAAAAGGCCTGACAGACTTATGATGATGACACACACTATGGTGGAGACATTGCTTGTCAGTTTAAATACACATTTTAGAAAAACCTCTACCATAAGTATGGATTTAACAAGCACATTCACAAATGAAATCAAACTGCACGATAGCCTCATATTACTTCATCAAGAATGCCACAGGCAGACGTAGCCAAGTGAAGTCATGTTTTCTTCCTGTTTTTTTTATACGTTGTCAGACTTAACCCTGATTATCCTAATGATGATCTATTCTGTGGTGAGGTACCAAGTGTGGGAGAGGAAGGAAGAAAGTGCATTAAGTGAAGTCTGAGATGATTTCTACAAAAGCCAATTCAAATGAACAATTCACCATTGGAAAAATACCTTTCAAAATATGTCTTCTGCTAGAGACTTAAATTTCACAAACAGGTATTAAGTATATAAACATCATTTTTGACTCTGATGGGTCTTTTCTCTTATTTAACAATTTTTCATTTTTTTGGAGGGGAACAAGATATTTACTTGTTTCAGTCCATTAGTTGTAGATGATAAAGTATCTAATCAAGGACTATATCAAAGACAATATCTAGATAATCATTGTGTTGCCCTCAACTACAAAACTGATTTAAATGTGTCTCCAACATGCATGAGGTCAGTCTAACAGAAGCATTAATACTGATCAAAATAAAAGAATTAGGTGATCACATTTTACAAATATCTAATTGACAGGTAATTTTGACATTCTGTAGCTTTGGTATAATGAGAAAAGTAGGGGATGTGGTGTGTGTTTCAAAAAGAAAATTTTTCTAACATATTATTCAAGATAGCACTAGCTGGGCAGTGTTCCATACTCTTGGGAATCATATCTGAATGTCATATTTACTTACCAACTCTAAAGTATATTGAAATAGGCACCATACAAGGGAAGAATGTGGGAGAATTGTGGGATGGAGACTAAATGCTTCAGTGGGTTGATACATTAACCTTTCACCTTAAAATATCTATGTGTCAAGAGCCCTTTAAATATCAGGTAAAATGAGAGTGGTGTCTCAATCACATCCACAGTGAATGTTTGCCCACATTGTTCAGAACTATCTCATGAAGTCATGCAGTTTGACTTTCTAGTGGTGAAAAAATAGAATTCTTCATCCTTCTTTTTATGTTGCATTCTAGGCTAGGAATAGGTGGGTAGCATTATGAGTGGATGCAAGTGGAAATGGAGGGAAGAATATGATGAAGAATGGACAAAGATTAGAAAAATCAATTTAAAACACATTGAACTACAAGGGAAAGTTTTTGGTTATATATATTAAGAAATGTACACTCTCCCTGGACTTAAAATAATCCATTACACCAACTTCCTCTGTCACTCCTGCTACTCTTCACAATTGTTGTCTGAGAGCTTTCTACTCCTCTACCTCTGTTTACTTGATCTCAAGAGCCCAATCCTCATGATATTCCATCTGATATCCCAGCAGACTCCATCTTTATCTGTTCTTTACCCATGAACTAATTCATTGTATACCTGGGGTATACTCTCCTCTGAGTAAAATGCTATAGCAGGGAGGAAGTCTATCTTATTCCCCTTACCAAAATAAAAGTTCCAGTATCCCTACCTTCATCCCACTTCTGGGCAGCATGTAGCAACAGCAGTAAAACTCCATAATTTAGGAAAGTGAGTTGCCAGAAGTGCTTTCTCCTACCAGCATGGAGGATTGTCACCATTGACTCACTGGGGAGCGAGGGGAGAAAGTAATTCTTCTTTCCCTTATTCTTTGATCTACTCTTATGACCTCACAATATGCCTTTGTTGCTGTTTATTCTCTTAGCAGGTAATGCCCTGCATGGGAGCCTGTGCTTTATTTACGTGATTGTGTTCAACATGGTATGGCAAGGAGTTCCACAGTCAAGTGGGGCCATTGGAGCATACAATTTAAACTACTTCATTGCTGTACAATTGTATTGGTGAGCATTAATTATAAAATGTTTTCAGTAAGCTGTTATAATAATATAAAATTTTATCATTTGCTACTTTGATACACCTAGTGGTGCCTTTTGGGAATGAAACATTTATTGGAGTTTTTAAAAGTGCCTGTAAGCAGCAATTTAATCAGTGAGAAATTGTGACCATATTTGAAGATATTGCTCAAACATATACATCATTATAATGGAGCCTGACAATAATTGAACACTCTTAAAATCTGTTAAAAATGTGCATAATCATTGTCTGTTAAAAACTGCAAGCAAATATTTTCACTTATTGTGTGGATGCCTTAGTGAATATAGACTGAACAGTTAGCAATATGCCAAGTGACTTGGAATGGAAAGGATACAGTTGTGCCAAATAGCAGAAGTACTTTGAGAATTTATCAATTGTCTTGGAACACTCTGGAATCTTTCACTTAGCAAGTGCAACCAGAAAACATTTATCTTCTAATGAGAAGGGGAAAAAAAGAGTGATTAATGATGGGAACATCCAAATAAAAGAGTAAAACCATCTAGAGTCATATGGATATACGTGATATCTTTCTGAGGTTAGTTATAAGCAATAGCCATCATTTTGACCTAAAACTTAACTCAAAAGAGAAAGGAACGGCTGATGTGACTTGTGGAATTAGTTGAGTCGAATGAGTAGTATAAAATCATATGGGAGTTGTCCACTCTCTTAGCAACTGAGATCCTCCACTTTTCTTGCCTTCTGCAAAATGTAGTTTACCTAATATCTAAAATGTCATTTACTCTTGGAGAATGGGATATATAAACATATAACAGTGAAATTTTTAGTTTCATGATTTTCATAAACACACATTTGTCTGGGTGTATATTAACACATATATACGTATGTATATATGGACTTTGAGGAGAGGCCATATGCACATGCATAAATTCACACATGTATGCATAGACATATAACATATATCTATGCATATATGTGTTTATGCACATATATATGTATATATATTCTTTGATTTTTAAATTGAATTTTAAATCTGGAATTATGCCAGAAGAGTTTTGAAACTACCCATACCCTTTGACCTAGCAACACCACTAGTTGGTCTATTTCCAAAAAAAATCAGGGAAAATGAAAAAGAACCTATATGTTAAAACTATTTATAAGTAGTTCTTTTTGTGATGAAAAAGAATAGAAATTGCAAGGATGCCCATCAATTGGGGAATGGTTGAACGAGTTACGATATATGACTGTGATGGAATTCTACTGTGCTATGAGAAAGGATGAGCTCAATTATTTTTGAAAAAACATGGAAGGACTTGCATGAAATAATAAAGAGTGAAATGAGCACCACCAAGAGAATTTTCTATACAGTAACAGAATGACTTAGAATGAATGTTATTTTGACTATAATAAATATCCAAAGTAACTATAAATGACATATGAAGAAAAATTCTATCTGCATTCAGAGAAAGAAGTGATAAATAGAAGTATGTATAGAATAATTTTACACACACACAACACACATGCATATACACACACCTACTTGTTTTTAATGATACCCATCTCTAAGGCAGGAGGGGAAGGGAAGAAAAAAATGAATTTACATGATAGTTTTGTTGCATATTTGAAAGGAATAGCAAGTTGTATATAGTAGATTTGTCATTTCATATGCAATTGTCTTTTTTATCGGACAATGTTAAGGAAATTTTTGTTTTATTTCATAAATTAAAATAAAATTTTAAAAAAGAAATGAATAGACGTTTAGCACAAATTTTCATTGTGAACAAACCTATGATAACCTCCACAAAATCATTCTCCCTCTTCAATCTTTAAATCTCATATTTCTTCCAAAAGTTATACTTTACCACATTATACAAATTAATACATATACTTCCCATTTTGGCTTCAGAAATAATATTTTGTATTTTTTCCTATGCCATTTACATAAAATGAAAGAACCCATCAAATAATTCATAAATCTTTTATTTACAATATCTTATTATTGCTGAAATAATTAGCTCACTGATTTCATTGGTATAGTGAAATCCTTGATAAGGAAATATTCTCTACCAGTGAATACTAATAATGCATAGACTCAGAGAATTACTTGGATACTGAGAGATTAAGTGCATTGCATTTGGTCACACATCCAATATATGGCAGAGAAAGGACTTGAAACCAGGTTTTCCTAATGCTTTGGCCAGTTCAGTATTCACTATGCCTTGGCTCTCTTATAATAGTTTCAATACTGAATGATACTGGTTATAGGTACAATCTTAGAACAAATTATTTTTCCCCCAAGTGAAGCCCAGTTTCCTGAGATTCTTTCTATTGAGAGACCAAGAACTAAGAACAGTAAAGCACTTTTTTTTTTTAGTGTCTTTACAATTTGATGTATTTGAATCAACAAGCATTTATTGAGAAATTACTAGGTGACAGACACCATGCTAGGGATTGCAGGATACAGGGACAAAGAATGCCACAAGCTTTATTTTCAGGAAGTTTATATCTTGGGAAGAATTGATTATCTCTTCACATTATACCTAATGACAAGGCCAACTATTAGTCATTTTGCTTTTTTTTTTTCTAGAAGAAGTAAGTTACTTAATATTCTCACAGATTTCCCCTCCTAATACTTCTGTGATTTTCCTAATATTTGGGTACAATTTTGATTTTGAATATAATTTTGACATCGGAAAGGAGACTTGAATAATGTTTCTATCAAATATCAGCTCAATGGACACTTTCTCCTTAAGTCTTCAATCTACCTAACTCGGTGTACCCCATTGCCAATTTCAGAAAAAAAAATAATAATAATAAAAATAAACCCTTGTGTTTACTTTGCACATATTGTAATTTATTTCTATGCATGCATGTTGTTTCCTACAATAAACTGTAAGTTCCATGAAGGCAGAGTCTGCTTTGTTTTTGATATCCCCAGCATGTAGAACAATGCCTGTCATAAAAAAGTATCTAATGTATACTTCTTGATTGAGTGAGTGTTTGAATTTGACAGTGTAAATTTAAGGAAAATAGATACATGATTACTTTTGACCTAACACTAAAAGCACAAAATGAGAATGTATTCCTTTGGAAGATCATGATTTGACCTAATATTCTTAAAACCTCAAAGCAAAGATAAATATAACTTGGTAAGAAATTAATTCAAGATATTATGGATGAACAATTAATTTAACATTTAAGTAATTATGCTTTTAAAAATTCCAAATCCCTATGGAGATAATTCTTTAGCCTAAAAGGAAGAAAATTGACTGTACTCAGTCCATGTAGGAATGGGCTATAACTACTTGTTAATTGAGGAGAGGCAAGTTGTCTTGATCAACTGATGGTTCTGCTACTGATTATCATGCCCTATCAGCATTTAAGTAAGAGACAGAAATTGCACAATGGTGCATGATGCTGATGCTTTTAAAATCTGAGTCAAATGCTGAATGATGTTGGGCAAGTGCTCGGAAGAATGTGATTTAAGAGATGTTCAGTTAAACACATTTAGGCACAAAGGTGATTATGTTGGTATTATTTTAATGAGTCAGGAGTATTTTTTTCTAGAGTTTATTTTTGAGATGGGGGAAACTTCATCATTGTCATTCTACAAACCATCTTCTTTTATAGCGCTTGAGACCACTATAAAAGCAGAATGGATCATTGCAGATCTCATTTTACTCTTCATAGAGATGTGTAGTTTCATTCTTGGGAAACTATGAGAAATTAATACATTTTTGAACTAGTTTTCTATTACATTTAACAACTCTGTCAATGCCAGATGCTACGAGGCATTTCATTTTCTTTTTCTGTTATGTTGTCTTACTTGAATTTTTTGATGGATATTATAGAGGTCATTAATAAACTCAACACAGTATGGCCACTCCCTCCAGTAGGGCAAATTTCAAAATCTGTATTAATTTTCATTCTGTGTGTTTCTTGGCATTATCTTTCCATAAACTGTCTGTATAGGACCTACCTACCTAAGACAACCCTTGTACATACTCATGTAATATTAGGGCTCCCGATTGATATCAGTAACTCTCACTATGTCACATAGTCTATATTCTTTTCCAGTCATACATGTTTTTTATGATGTCTACAGATGACCTCTTTAGGCTGGGCATCATGGGTAATAGCCTGCTTGCTTTCATTCTGCTTTTTCATCGCTCATTGGACCACTTACAATCTTTGTTCTTCTAAGATCATTATGGTCCATATTTTTGACTTGTTTATAATCATCAGTTGAATGTTACTGTTAAAAGGATGGACTTTAGCATTAAGTAGCAGCTTGGGAAGAAAGAAAGTTCTGTGTAATTGAATCCAGACTACTGTCCTTTTTACACTTGGGCCAAGCACACCATCCAATTTCAGTGCCTTGCCAATTAATATACTTATGGAATAATTCAAGAAGTTATCAATCCAACTCAACTACATAAACTGGACAATATACATTTTTTCATCCATCTAGTTTTTCTTGTGTGAATTATCAGGCTTATATCTTTTTATTCACCTAAGGATCTCACTAAGGAAGTGCAATAGTATTTGAGAGCTTGGCACAGTATACTCAATGTCATCAGCAGATAAGAGCATTTGGTGACTATCATCTCTAAGGACATTCTAATTGTGACTATTTTGGTTGAGCATATTCTCTTTATTTTCTGGAGATCGATGTTGATGATTAGCTGATCTTAGACATATTATCTTCCTGCATATATGAAGGAAACTTGTATCATCATACTAAACTTCATCATCAAATATCCCTTTCATTTGTTACAA